ATTACATACCACTTATATTTCATCATATGTATATCTTATTATTAGTAAATTTTGAGTTTTATTTGTTCAATACATTCATTGATAATGTACATAACATCTATGAAAGTTTTACACAAAAATTATGTGTTTCAATGCCTATATCTGTCATTTTTGTTGATTTTTTTCCGATACCTAAAACAATAACGATTTATCCCCTGAAATATCTGTAAATTGGAGGCCCGATATTATCTGCACGGCCGATATTTTAATCCTTGCGTGTGAGGGCGTGTTAAGAGTGTTTGTCCCACATTGAAATGTTAAGGAACCTAGTCTGGGTTTATAAGGAGTTGGGCTACTCCCCCATTGCCATTTTGAGGTGGAACCTCAATTTCCTTTAGGTGGGTGGGTTGGGCTAATTTCTCTTACAGTAAATTTGAAAGTGATACAAAGAAAAATCCAGAGCTCTGCAATGTCAGAATACAATACAACATAAATTGGGACCTAATGATGCAATAAATGTGACCTCATTAAAACATTGCCTTAAAAAACCCCAAACAGATAAGAGGAAAAAATAGTGTCACTACATCATAACCAGCCTAAACACAAGTCCTAAACTGCCACTCGAATTTTGTGGCGAGGTTCATCTACAAAAGGACCATCAATCCAAAGTACACCACCCCAACAATGTCAAAAATGCTGCAAAACTGTCTTGTAACGGCTAACTGCAACACAGTCTTGTAACTGCTCAACTGCCTACGAACTTTGGCCGCCATGTTTATCCCAAGTTGTCTAACAAATCATCCTCGCAAAAACACCACAAACAGAAAAATAAAAAGAGATGAGAGGCAGAAGAGAATAAGTCAAGCACTGAAACAAAGTCAAGAACATGTAGATGAATAAAAACCAAAATAGCATAGGCTAGAACAGTTGAAGAAACCCAAAATAATGTAAAGAGAAAAGCCGGTGAAGACCAAATAGATATATAAACAAAAGGAGCTAAAAGGCTTCGACTAAGAAAACGAACTAAAAAATGGGCACGAAATACAAACTTAGAAGAGAAGACCAAAACGGAATTCTGAAGCACTTACCTGGGCATCTGCAAGGAAACACCCTAACGGAGAAAATAAAAGACATTAGTGATTGACTTTGCTTCGTTTCAATTGGTTCACTTCAAGATCCAAACTTTTGATATATTATTTTAAGCTCTTTGGTTCATTATCGTTCATTGTGTGCTAATTGATATTGTAATTTGTTATGAGGGAGAATTGTAGTTGTGAAGATGGATTGTAATTTGTTATGTTGTGTTGTGAAATGAAATGGCCTCAAGCTTGTTTTACTGAATAAAATTTTGGGTTTAGACCCAAACTGAAAAACCGCAAGAGGCGAACAAGTCCAAATTGGTTCGGTTCTCCCAGTGATTTTATGTCAAAACTGGAACCGCGCCCAACCTCAATTACAAGGCCTCTAGTGTAGGAGAATGCACACAAGTGATGACGAGGAGGAATGAAAAAAAAGTACTATACTACTACGTAACAGCTTTGTCTTCCTCTGTTGGACAAGAAGTATGAGGATGAATGTGACAGGAGATCAACAAAGTGATAACTTGATATGTAAGCATATATTTCATGAATCACATTTCATGAGCAGAGCATAGCACAAGCATAAGCATGCCTTGCACAATTTAGCTTTTGATTGCTTTTTGGGTACAACTGGGCTAGCTAGCTTAGGACTTTAAACGTCGTCATTTTGAAGTTTCCTGTTACTTTAGACAACCAAGCACGATCAACTTGACTTGACTGGAGAACACAATGATGACTTTGTTATTTCATGATTTGTACTTGTATATGGAGACGTCCATGGACAAGCATGCGCTTTACGCTTTCGCTTTTGATTGCTTTTATTTCCATCTCTTTTTGTTTTATGGTATACAAGGTTTTTATCGCGCCTGGAGGGATGGAACAAACAAAGAGCAATTAATGCCATCCTTTGGAAAATAGGAAAAAACTAGGATAAAGAATGAGCACAATCCAAGATTATCTTTTGTCCTGAATTCTCTGCCAATTTCCTTTTTTGTTTTTTGTTTTTTTTTTGGGGGGAGCAGATGCTTCTATAAAAAAAAATAGAAATTATAGTTATTAATCAGAGTTAGTTAATCGGACATAATTAACCTCTACTCCATCAGCATAACATAAGTAATAGCGAACAATATTGTATAAAACAAATTTCAAATTCATGCACCACTGTAACTTAATACAGCATGAACATTAGCATATATTTTATATATATACCCGCATTGTGATTTCATGATCCGAACTATATATCCATTTTTTACGTCTCCCTTCAAACATCATTCTTGCAAAAAATAAGTAAAATTGTAAATCTCTTATATGTGTATATATAACAATTCTCTACAGTGGCGTCACAAACGCTTTCTTTGCTATATATATATATATATATATATATCACGTAATCTTTAGACTAGCTAGTGCAAGAGGCCAGACATGGAGAGAGTGGAGGAAGTGGTGGATAAAGAGGGGGAAGTGGACATTATCCCCGAAGATGCCACTTTACATGCATTGGCCTATGGCCTGTTCAATAAAGCCATGAACGGCCAGTGGGAAAAAGTTGTGGAGGACTATAGATTATCAGAGAATGTTCATGATTTGCGTATCACCAAAATGGGGGACACTGCTCTACATTTTGCTGTTTCGGATGGAGAAACAAAAGTTGTGCTGGATTTGCTGGAGATCATTGGAGACAATGCATTCAACATATTGAAGATAAAAAATAACAAAGGCAACACACCTCTGCATTTAGCTGCTGCACTTGGGGATGTGGAAATGTGTCATGCAATGGCCATTATAGCCAAAACACTTGTGTCGCTTCGCAACGATCAGGACGAGACCCCTCTCTTCTTGGCAGCTCTTAATGGCAAGGAAGAGGCTTTTGTTTGTCTTCATTCTCATTGTGGACCAAATTGCTATTCATTTAGAGCAAGGAATGGTGATACCATTCTCCATGCAGCTATGTCCGGTGAATACTTCAGTAAGTGTGTACTGCTTAAATATATAATTAATTTTTAACTTAATCTCATATATTATTCATTATTTTTTTATTATTTTTTTAAATGTATAGGTTTGGCATTCTGGATAATTGAGCGGCACCCAAAACTTGCTAATTCTTTGAATCAGGGAAGTTTATCTCCCCTGCATATTCTAGCCAATACT